AGGGAAGCAGTACCACTCTATGCCACCCACCCATAGGGAAAATTGGACACCCGTCTACAAAAAAGATAGAAGGAAACAACCCAGGATGCCTACGTTGCATTACGATCTTGCTAACACCTGTTTCAACACGAATGTAGGCTGCAGGGCGCCTGTTCAGCTCCCTTGTTGAATGGGGTGGTGCCACAGATAGCCCTTCCTATCCTCAGCCAGGACCATGGTAGCCACCGCTCGCATCACTCGTACCGCCATTCATCTCGAACCCACACATAAAATCTGCAACATTTTATTTTCACCCCGAGCACCTCCAGCCACATATCACCATCCAACATGGACGAGGACAGCGATACGCCCGAGGACAGGGCTATCATGGATCACACAGACATTGATGTGTTCATGTCGGACTACAGATCACCGCCAGTTGGGAGAAGTCTGGAAGACCTACCCACCGAGCTCATCGGCATGATCGCTGAGAATCTCGACAAGAAATCTCTGAGCATACTACAAGCGCTCGGCAGTCGGACTATATTACAGGCCATCGATCATGCTCTTGTAAGTACCTTCTCCCCTTACCCAAAGCTCGATCTTTCCCTAGCTTGTGCTCTATCTCACTCCAAGGTGCTCGTTAATGAGTCGCTAACCACCCTACCTTAAGACCGAAGCGAAGTTTTCCAGCCGAAGATGTCAACTCACTATCACGAGCGTCGAACGTCTCGAGGCCCTGTCTCATTTACGATTTGCAACCCGTATTCGCGCACTCGAGATATACTTTAAGTTGGAATGTCGGTCACCGACGAGCTTGCGATACGGTCAAAGCATGGACACAGCGAAATCGCCTTGCATTGGAACCACGCTCAGCGAATCTGACGTGCGAAACTTGTTCAGTGCTATCTTTCGGCGTCTACCGAATCTGAAGAGTATCACGCTTCGCGCACCTCCCCCGCTGAAAGGGATGGCTGACAAATTGTGCTACCCCGTGATTTCAACATCCAATCCTTTGGCAATGGGTGTTATGGGGTTCCGTCCCGAATTCTCGATAGCCTATTCACCAAAACACACCCATATCATGCATGCGCTTCCCATATACAGGGTCATGCATGCTCTGGTGGACACCATACGATGTGCGCCACAGCAGCTTGAAGAGTTCAGGGTTGTAGGGTTCGGGTTGAAGTGGCAGACTTGGCTACTGGGAACTCCAAAGTCGCTCTTCGAGGCTATTTCACCTGCTTTACGCGGCTTAACGTCATTGAAACTGGAACTCGACATGGCCACCTTGAAGACTGATGCATACATGTCAGCCCTCGTCAAGCTTATCAATACCAATGCAAATCTCCAAGCATTGGCTTTGTCTGTTGGCGATCAGGGTATCGGTAAGTATCAGATCCGCAATGAGAGTTGGGCTCCTCTGTTCCAGCTACTGGGCGGCAGTCCTCCATTCCGCCTACGTTCGCTCCATATCAACGGACTCGTTACGAGCACTACTGCACCTACACTCGCGAGTATCATCAACGTACACTCCTCCACGATCCGTCGCATTGTCCTCAAGAACACGAACTTCCATTACCCAAATACCCTTCGCGCTTTCTTCAGGGCTTGCGCCAATTCGGCCGTAAGCTACTACGAGACCGAGAACTTCTACTTTCATGAGAGGACTATGATAGTAGGCAGGTATCTTGATGATGATGTTTTGGAGTACGACAATGCAGAACTGCATGAAGATGTCAACAACAACCACTGTGACTCTGATGCATCCTGCCACGATTGGGTAAAAGTGAATTGGGACGGTTTTGATGAGGAGGATAAATGGAAGTTGGTCTTCGAAAATGAGCAAGGGCAGAAGCGGCGTAGCTACATGTACGATAACTTCATGAACGTTGTGGACATGGTCAAGGAGGGTAGTCTGAGAGACTCCTGAGTCTAGCCTGGAAAATTCGTTGTCTTAGACACTGTTTGCTGCTTCAGATTTAATACTACGTAAGCGGCATACCTGTAGAGTTGCAAGGTTCTATCTGGAAAGTGCCCCACCACCTTCGCAGTCGACTTCCCCGCCTCTCAACCATCAACTTCATTTTCTGTCCACATCAGCGGATCGCAACACTTGCTTTGAACACTTTGATCCTTCAGGCGGGCACGAGTCTCTCCACTTCCCGATTCCGAAGTGGAGGACATGAAGTTTATTGACTCGCTATGCACAGCTGTGAAAGTTAGTACATGCAGATCTTTACTGTACTTCACAATCATGGCCAATGTCACACGGCGTTATCGCTCCGACCGCACGGTAGTACCGTACAGCCTGTGAACTCCCCTGGGTTTCCCTGATTGTAAATGCGATGTTGGTTTTCTGGGGTCGCATCTTTCTAGGGAGGTCGTCGTGGCGGCCTTGATAAAGTTTCGAAGCGACAGCCTGGCCATGTGCTATTCCAAACAGATGGCGGGTAGCAAGACAAGCACTAGAACGGCAGAAACTGCCGGGCGTTTTGTCACCCTTTCTGAATAGCTACCGGGCATCGTGATGATTGGTCTCGTACGCCACGCGGAAACGGGAAGTACCAGCATTAATACCTGAGATATCGTACATGGTACACCGCCACCTCCGCACTCCACACTTTAGACTGCCTGTGGATTCCGGGGTAGGGGCAAGCTAAGCATTTCCAGGCACTATCGGCATATATTGGGACAAGAATGCAGGTGGGACCACATTCACAAAGATCTGCATGCCAGTCTGGATGAAAGGGATGCCCTGTTATGAGGCAGAAGGATCGCTGGTGCCAGCCTCTCTAGTTGAAAGTTTATCGCTTCTTGAAGCTAACCCTACTTCGCAACATCGAGCAAAACCTCGCCGCACCATCTTGAATTTCTTCATCACCACCTTTGGAGAGAGAAACCACCAAAATGCCCGATCTAACAAGCAGTCTGCTTTCCAATTGGAAATGCCTCGCGGCATGTACCCTCGTTTCTATGTCGCCGTTCCAGTACGGCATCGACTTTGGTGCTATCGGCGGTCTACAAGCCATGCGCGGCTTTCTCGAAGTCTTTGGCCATCCTGATCCCATGACGCCCATAGGCTACAATATCTCCCCCGAGCGTCAGCAACTCATCTCATCCTTGATGACACTCGGTGCTTTCATCAGCTCAATGTTCGCCGGTGTCTTCGCGAAGAAGCTGGGGAGGCGCCAATGCCTTTGGATGGCCAGTGCGCTTTGCTGCGTTGCAAACATTGTCATGATGACTACGACCAACATTGCGGGGCTGTACTCTGGACGTCTTTTGATTGGGATTGCAAATGGGTGGTATATGACCTTTTCGCAGCTTTATATCCAGGTTCGTATTCCCCTTCATTCGTCCGGTACATTACTGACAGACGAGTAGGAATCAGCGCCAGCTCGATACCGCGGTCTCATGATATCCGTTTTCCAGATCTGGACTTCAGTTGGCACTCTCATTGGCACTGTGATCGACAACGCAACACACGACATGAACGGTCGGAACTCGTATATCATCCCACTTGGCATGATCTTCATCGTCCCGGTTCTCATGTCGATTGGCCTGTTCTTCATTCCCGAATCGCCACGCTGGCTGATTCTAGTCGAGAAGCCAGCGCAAGCCGAGAAGGCGCTCCTGTGGATGCGTCCTCATCCTGAAAGCGTTCCCGGCGAAGTAGCAGAGATCCAAGCGGCGATTGATGCTGAAAAGGCTGTCAAGTCGAGCGCGAACTTCCTGGACATCTGGAAAGATCCTGTTGATCGTAGGCGCACGCTGTTGGCTATTGCTGCGGTATCGACTCAGGCTGCTTCGGGTGCCATGTTCGTGATTGCGTATGGAACGTACTTCTTCCAGGTCAGTGCATCGCTCCCGTTCTCTAGAGTATGCCAGGCTAACATTAAGCAAGATGGCGAATGTTGGTAGCCCCTTCATGAACTCCTGCATCTTGACCGCAGTCGGTGTCGTCGTAGTCATGATCAACAGCAGTGTTATCTCGAAGATTGGTCGCCGCCGCGTTTTCCTCATGACCGGTCTTTCTATCTGTGGTGTTACGCAGCTTATCATCGCGGCTGTCTACCACGTCAACCCTGGCACGACTAGCACTGGAAAGGTGAGTTTATCTTTCTTTCGTGGAATATGCGAGCTTCTTACTGACCTGTCCAAGGCTATTGTCGGTCTCTCGGTGATTTACATCATCGGTTACAACGGTATGATCGCGGCTTACGCCTGGCTCTCTGGTGGAGAAATCCCATCGCAGCGTCTACGCTCATACACGTTTGGTATCGCATCGGCCGTCGCTTTCGCAGGTGCTTGGCTCACCACCTTCACTGCACCATACTTCATCAACCCTGACTCCCTTAACTGGGGCCCCGAATATGGTAAGACTTCCACCTTTACTTCTCTATACTTGAACTCCATACTAACGCCGTATGTAGGTTGGATCTGGGGACCATCTTGCTTCATCACAGCAGCATGGGTGTACTTCTACCTGCCCGAGATCAAGAACCGCACTCTCGAAGAGATTGATGAGATGTTTGAGGCTAGGCTTCCGGCGCGCAAGTTTAGGAAGTATGTCTGTACTGGCCGTGTTGCAGCTGGTGGAGACGACAAGATCGAGAGGCGCGATAGCGACAAGGATGAAGTTGTGCATCACGAGGTTGTCGGTGCGGAGAAGAGTGGCTGAGCTATGACTTGCTGCAACGAGTGTATCCTTTTGTGGAAGGAGGCGCCGCTTGACGCCTCTGGCTCGGACATACAGTTAGGCTTTGCTCTTGGAATCAATCGGTTTTCTGGCTCCTTCTACTACGCAGTACTTCTGCTTCGCCGTCACTGATGATGTGTCTCGGTGTTATTACCGAACTGACGGAAGGCTGAACGTGACTTACGTGCCTCTGAGCTGTGCACTTTTTCGGAGACATCATGCAAGACTGATACCGTTTGCCACACGCACATCATGAAGCAGTTCAATAAACTCTAAAATTGCGTTGAGCGTATCCTTGTGGTACTTCCGCTTGACTGGACTACGCAGCAACAGCGCTAGCTTTCTTAATCGCCTCATCCCCCAGTTCCTCAGCGTGCTTCTCAGCATCATGTTGGAACACCCAATCCTCTCTCGGGAACTGGATCAGAGTGGGGTCCTTCTTCACCTTCTCCCAATCTGTCTTGTGCCACATGTCTCTCGTTGTCTCGCCCGTTTTCTGCACAGCCTTGACACGATCGTAGCGTATATCCTGGTATGCTCGTAACGCGCCTCGTACGTTATCCTTTCCAGCTTTTCGTAGCAACACGGCGAGTGTAACACCATCTTCAAGTGCTTGCGTTGCACCTTGCGCACTTGTTGGAAGGAAGGGATGTGCTGCGTCGCCTAGCAAGCATATCCGGCCGTGACCTGGCGCGGAGCCATAGCCCGAAACCCAGTTGGGCAACGGGTCCCGGTATACAAGTTTCCAATCAACGAGTTTCTCTTCCGGTGTCTTGGAAACGATCTTCCAGCACATTGGATCCCAGCCGTCCAACACAGTCTTGACGTCTTTGAGGTAGCCGGGGAAGGACCAGGATTCGTCGATGTCGTGGTCGTCACGGTGGGTGAGCACCCAGCAGCAGTCGGTGCCGTTCTTGATGGTGCTGAAGAGGAAATGTACGTCTGGGCCTACGAAGTTGTTAGCATGCGATTAGTCTCAATGGTGGGGTGGAAGAAGGCTCACCGATCCATCCATTAAAGGTATCGCCGTTCTCGCAGAACTGCTTTGTCTCCGGGTCTGCGATCATGTCCTTGTTGGTGAACCAAGCTCGCCATACGGCGTATCCACTGCTCTTTGGCTTGTCTTCGTATCCCAAGACCAGTGTTCTCGCCTTACTCCGAACACCGTCACTCGCAACCACGAGGTCGCCAGCAACGCGCGTGCCATCTTCTAGCACGATGCCCGCCTCCTTATCACCCTCCCAGTATTTCTCCACTCGTTGTCCCAAGTTAATCTCCACGCCAATTTCCTTGGCATAGTTGAACACAATCTCGTGTAGTTCACCGCGATGCCCGTTGAAGTTCGGCGCCTTCTCGTCGCGTGGCGGCGTCTTCTGGTTTATAACAATCTCGCCAGTATCCCATTTGTGAATGTTGAAGCCGTATTCGGTGAGATCGATCGAAATCTTGCGCATGTCGCGCGCGACGCGTCCATCACTCCAACGTGCGAAGATGCGCCCAGCATTGGGACCGAAGGTTATTATGTCGCCGAGGATCTTGAGCGAAGGGAAGGATTCGTAAATGACGGGTGTGTGCCCGTGGCGGATGCATTCTATGGCTGCTGTGAGGCCGCCGAAACCTGGTGATGTGTGTTAGAACGGGGCTGTGGCACGGACTGCTAAGGACGTACCTGCGCCGATAATGATGACTTTGATGCCCGTCTGTGGCTTTGCGCCATTAGTGACTGGGCCGTTGTCGTTGGTCTCTAAAGAAGACATCTTGGGGAGTTTGGTCTCGTCTATTCTCGCACGGAGTGGCATGCGCGACTTCAATCAAGCTTCACGACTGGGCGGAATAAGGTAACACAACGCGATTCGATGCGAGAAGAGGTCCCAGGTATCCAGACGCATCGACCAGGTAATTGCTTGTGAGCGTGGGGCTCGGCAACCCTGCATCTACCGATGATATGGCCATGTACCCATTCTTCTCAGTAACTTCAACCAGGCGAGATGGAGCCGACGACCGAGTGTGCAAGCGCGAGTCGTGGCGCTGAGAGCCTGCAGGTGCTGGACGCCTCTCCCGGCATGTCCCCTCCGTGGGGTGGAGTCGTATCATTGCGATGTGGATCGCCGTATCTGCCGGTTAAAGGATGTTGACGCGTGATGCGAGGTCATTGGGAACGCGAAGTATACGTTGTAGCTGCCCCACATGGCGCTAACCTTCCCCGCCTTCAGCTTGTACCCCGCAACTTTCACCCCAACTGCACTTGTCCATTTCCAGCGCATGCTGTCCCGAAGGCGACACAGATGCTGTGGACATGGGCGGAACTTCGCATGCAGTCTCGATGCTTCCGGATGGAAGTTGCTGTGGTAAACAAGCTCAGTCCCAGGGATAGCGAGAGCGATACTTATGCACTCCCCTTGATAAGATTCTAAGGCTCAGGCTGTTACTCCTCGAGCATATCAAGAGCTACAATGTCGACTCTAACTCATTCTGAATGGGATGAGAAGACGGGTGGTCGCGAAGTCGCGAAAGCTTTCGCCGAGCAGATTCATGGCAAGAATGGTAGGACGTCCATGTGCTCACGCTGTTGAAAGCTGATGTTGACCTAAAAAAGTGCTCATCACGGGTGTATCCCCTGAAAGCATCGGCTCGTCTATAGCCCTCTCGATTGCCTCCCAAAATCCAGCGCTCCTCATCTTCGCCTCACGCACCAAGTCCAAACTGGAAGAGGTCGTGAGGAGCATCCAGGATGCCTATTCAGACGTCACAGTCAAAGTAGTCCTCCTTGACTTGATGTCTCAAGAATCTGTTAAAACTGCTGCAAAAGAAGTGTCGCAATTGACGAGCCGCCTGGATCTGATCATCAACAATGCTGGTGTCATGACAACGGCGCGTCAAACCACCAAAGAAGGCCTCGAAGGTCAATTTGGCGCCAACCACATTGGCCACTTCCTCTTGACCAACCTGCTCATGCCTCAGCTTCTGGCCTCTGCTTCCTCCTCAGATGAAGGTGCCACCCGCGTCATCAACCTCACTTCTGCTGGTCATCGGTTGAGCCCTGTTCGATTCTCTGATTACAACTGGGAGAAGAGCAACGACGAGATACCCGAAGAAGAGAGGCACGTGCAACTTCCTCCGAAGTTTGCGAAGGGCGCAGATGATGGATACAACGGGTGGCTGGCCTATGGACAGGCGAAGACGGCGAACATGCTGTTCTCAGTGGGTTTGAACGAGAAATACAGAGGAAAGGGTGTGAGAAGTTATGCTGTGCATCCCGGATGTGAGTACCCCGCCGCGCAAGCCTTTTGAGTGCGTGGTTTCAGAATCGCTAATGAGTTTAGCAATCTGGACTGGTCTCAGTCGAAACCTGGACGCGGATGGCGAGGCTGCGATTCGAAGTGTAAGTCCGTTCTGGAAGAACCTTGATCAAGGTGCCGCAACGGTACTGGTTGCGGCGCTAGACCCAGCTTTAGATGGTAAGTAAAGGTTCAGTCGGCACAAGTCAATACTGACAACGTATCAGAATCAAAGGGTATCATGCTGTCTGACTGTCAGATGTGTGATGCGATGCCATACGCGACTGATCCTAAGTTGGCCGATCGACTGTGGGCCTTGAGTGAGAAGCTGGTGCAGAACAGCTTCAAGTTGTGAGGTAAAGCGATGGTCAACGAAGTAAGAGATCAGTTGTGCAATGACAAAGTGAAGGGTAGGATGAGGAGTGAGATTACCTAAGTATTGTCAAAAATCGATGCCGGTAGTGGCTGAGGAAAAGGATCACTGCATGACACCCGTTTCGCATTTTCCGTCAATGCCCTTGAATGATGCAGAGGTGTTTGTTTGTTGCGGTATTCGTACCTAGTGGCTTGGTCGTACTCCACCACCGCTGTCGGATAAGATAAGCGTGCACGTTCCACCGCGTCTTTCCCTGATGTCACATTCCGAGGTCGACTACCATGCCCAACTATCTTCATTTCAAGTACGGCCCACACCTAGCACACAACGCGTTCCAATTCTCCCCTCAATGGCCCGTGGCCTTCGTAGCGATTTAGATCCGTGTCCGCGTTGTCTCTATTCCAGCAATAGACTCGGATTATTTGACGATCTCGAAAGCTATGTGTAGCTACAGCTGATCACCTACTTCACGCGAGAACAGACTCACGATGGTAAGGGCGTGTTAAGGCCATGACAGCTACTTTTAAAGCAGATGATATCACCGCGTGGCAGCATGGAAGCGGCAACGTTAAAGAACACGATCCGAGAATCTATCCCAACCGTCTGACAGGCCACGGCCTACCAATCCGAGCCCCATAACCTACAAATCCCACACACCAGCAGCTGCGTGATGCCTTTGGGCTGTAAGCAGCCTGCTGAGGTCGATCGCACAAGCATTCTCGGACCACGGCGAAGACGAACACTCAAGCAAGGACGAAGACGGGAACAGAGGCGAGCTTGGACCTGAAGAAACGCTCGTTGCAGGCACTCGTGTACAGTCAGCCGGAGGTCGATTCGAACATGCATGCAAAACCAGAATTCAGCAACGATAACAGGCCGGACGGGGGGCTGGAAAGCGCAGGCAAAGGGAAGATGGACAAAGTGCTATCGAAAACACTCCAAGTTTGCCTGCGAAAGACAGCCTAGTCCCGCTGGACGACCGAGTCATTTAGAGCGAAACTCGCATTCAACGACTTCGAGCTACTCTTCACTGTCCTCTTCGTCTCCCTTTTGCTTTTTACGGGGTTGCTTTCCTGCGATCGGTTTCCTCCTCTTTCTTGCAAATGTATCTCCAATTCCCAGCCCTTGTTCGAGGTTCGACATTCTCAGCGGTCCAAAGTCCCTGCTATCCCTTACTTTCGGGTGGCTTGCCAGATACGCATTGATCTTGGCCCTCAATGTTGCTAGATCTGGCCGATGCTCTTGCTCCCAGTTCATGCAGCGCGCAACCAACGACCTCAGCTCTTCCGAGTATTTGCTCAGTGCCGGAAAGCCCAAACCTTCAAACGGTTTCGCCCCGGGCTCGTCTAGTCGCCCATGATCCGCTTCGCCAATGTTCACGTTTTGCGGCATATCCTCCGAGTAATGCAGTTCGCGCTGCGGACCAGCGACCGAGCGATTCGCAATCATATACCAGACTGCGGCTCCGATACTCCAAACATCTGACTTCTCATTCAAAGGTGTCAAGTCAGGCGGAGTGCCTCGTGCAAGTTGTTGCTCCTGATGCGATTAGCACGAGTTATTCTGGGTGTCTCGATACCGAACAGATTTGACTTACGGGAGGGTACTTGAAACTGGTGTGGCCGAGCACGTACTCCTGAGGGTTGTCTGAGGGTCTCACTGCGGGATCACTCTGCTCCAGATCATACATTGCCATACCAAAGTCGCTCAAGACACAGTTTGGATAAGCATCGTCAGCCGCTGGCTCCAGGAAGATGTTGCTCAACGAGATATCGAGATGCGTGATTGGTGGCCAAGCCGACTCCGCTGTCGCGGGATCTTTCGATCCCGTTTGGAGGACCAGGCATGCATCAACAAGCTGCGACAGTACATGCCAGACCAAGCTCTCTGGTACGACTTTGAGTCGCTCAATTTTATCCGTCGCTTGTCCTCTTTTCCATCGGTCAAAGTGCTCTTTCAATCCCTGGAATAAATCGCCACCTTCACAGAAGTCCAGGTACAGTTTGAAGCGGCGCTGCTGCATCATCAATCTGTACCCTAAATGCCTCAACAAGTTATCATAGCCTGAGGTATCAGCGCCAGCGGCGGGTCGATTCGCGTCAATACGCTCATGTATGCGAATTTCACGCGGAAGATAATCTCTCCAATACGCTGGATCCCGCCATTTCCAGTTGTGTGGGCGGACTTCTTTAACGACCATTCTGGCCGTCACGATGTTGTGGTCGTCGACTGCGCACCACAAACCTGCACATCCAAAAGTGCCTGCACCTAGAAACTTCCCGCCTATCCACCTTCTTCCGTCGCTATATGGATCATGGGTATCATCCATCCACTTTTCACCGTTCTCGGGCTCTTCTTTAGACTTGATGGCTTTAATGGTCATGCCTAAGGTCGCATCATCTGGCTCCGCATCCCACGGCTTAGGTGGCCAGAAGTCGAAGGGATATCGATTTACCGGCCGTGGTGGCGCTACTGTAACGGTATGAACAGGCACTGTAACAGGGCCAGCAACGACCACAGCGGGCGGTGGCACAGTCATCGCAAGCGCGCCGAAACCCGCTGGAGCATTCACCCACGCCGGCTCCGTTCCTCCTGATCCATCACGATACGGCGGCATACTCTTATTTGCGCGCGCAAACGTGACGTCGCTCGCATTGAACGGGTTATCTGGTATAGGGTTTGGTGTTGGTAGACCAAATAATTCTCGTCGCCCGATCCGCGCGTTGTAGTAATCGCGGATAATTCGACTACCATACCATAATGTGTTGACCGTGTTGTTTTGCTCGGCGCGGCTCCATGTGACGGTCAAGGCATTGGTGGGGAAGTAGGCTTCGCAGTCGCGTTTGAAGTAGGGCAGACCGGATTTATAGGGTGGTGACTTCCGTGGCATTGGTGGATGTGCTAAAACAACTTGTCATTCGATTTGTTTCCCAAAAGGCTATATCGGCAAGGTGCGTTCAGGACTACAACGGCCGAACAAAGAGATGCAAACTTCTTGTTGCGGCACTTATGCCGACGCCGGGAGATGGCTAATGCGGAAGGACAAAGACATGGATACAAGCACGTATCTACGGATAGGTTAGTGGATATTGTGAAGCCGTTGCCATAGCTATGGGCGCGTACAGATTTCAAAGTCGCGCATCGA